TATTTTTTAAAAATTATTTAAAAAATTACTTTTCAATAAATAAACAATACAAGATGAAATGAAAAGGTAGCAAATGGTCACAGCTTCATGTGAAACAACAGTGGACAAATTTGCATGGACGGCTAGGAACAAAACGTGGATTGAATAATTGTTTTTGCATGTTAGAATAGAATAATTCACAATCAATTGACAATTTTATATGGAAGAAATGTCAAAGCTTGAAGCGGGAATTTTTTATTATATCATGTTTCTTGCATTCTTAGTATTTTATTTATTAGTTAAAATTTTTGGATGTTTCTTTAATATAATATTTGTTTAACTTTTTTAATTGAAATAATTTTTTAATATATTAAAAACAAAATTTTTAAAAGAAATATTATAAATAAAAATCCATTTATTATCACAAGAATTACTATTTTTTTTTTTACTATTTTTTAATTATATAGCTCGAGTGGTTAGTACATCACCAATCAAAAGAAAGATACAAAGGAAATTGCATCAACCAAAGTAAAATAATACTAATTTAGTAGGATTCTGAACACTTGAAATTGCTTGCCATGCATTCAGGCTTCTAAATTAATTTTTTGTTGTTAGAAAGAGCTAAATTGCTTGCCATGCATTCAGGCTTCTAACTTATTTTTTTGTTAGAAAGAGCATTTACCAATTGATCCAGGTTCCGATGAGAACTATTACCGGCCAAAGCTGCCTCCTCTGCCTTGGTTTTCCATTCCATTGCCTTCTTTTTCATTGCTTTTCCCTTGTCTCCCACCATTAATCCTCTCACAAGTTTCTCCACTTCATCTCTTTTCACATTGTTATCTATCTCCATGCCAATGCCCCATTGATCAGTACAGGCAAGCCTACAGTTGGTCTGTTGCTCAGCGAAAAATGGCCAACAAACCATTGGCACGCCACCACAGATACTGTCCAATGTTGAATTCCACCCCATGTGACTTAGAAACCCTCCTATGGAAGGATGCTTCAACACTTGTTCTTGGGGACACCAGCTTACAAGCATGCCTCTATCCTTTGTTTCAGATAAAAATTCAGGTGGCAACATCGCGGCTTCACCTACAACAATATCAGGTCTTATTATCCATAAGAAAGTTTGGTTGCTGTTGGCCAGTCCCCAAGCAAATTCTATCATTTGCTGGGGTGTTATTACAGTGATGCTACCGAAATTTACGTACACCACAGATTTTGGTTCTTTGGAATCAAGCCATTCAATACACTCTGGCTGTTCTTTCCAAAGATTGGAGCCAATATTTTTCAGATCACCATTCGGAATCTGATCAACAAGCAATTGAAGAGGACCAACAGTGTAAATCGGAGGAAACATTGGGGAGAGAGCATCCAAAACATCTTGTTCGAAGGAGTCGAATGTGTTAAGAATGACAGCAGAAGCTCTTGAAGTTCTGTCAATTTCTCTTTTCAGGAATTGCAACATGAAGTCGTTTACGTCAGTAGTTCTGATAAAAGTTGGAAGATCCTTCAAACGGATATCTTTCATTCCTGGAATCCAATCTACTGGTGTTTCTAAGTAGCCATTTGTTAGATCCCTCGCATCTGCAAACAGCAAGTTAATTTCATCAGCATATTGTGATAGGAAATAGGTAAATTAATTATGCAAAAACTATAACTTATACTGAACTATCAAAAATTTTCACGGATATCTTTCATTCCTGGAATCCAATCTACTGGTGTTTCTAAGTAGCCATTTGTTAGATCCCTCGCATCTGCAAACAGCAAGTTAATTTCATCAGCATATTGTGATAGGAAATAGGTAAATTAATTATGCAAAAACTATAACTTATACTGAACTATCAAAAAAAAATTATCATAAATTCATGCACCAATTAATGTTTAAGAAAGTTGTTTACCTTTCAGAGGTATTAAGCCTCTTTCGATGAGAGGACGATACTGCGAGTAGCCCAAAACACCACAGGCGCTAGGTGTCCAAAACACTGCTTCAGGAATTCCAAATTCTTCAGCTGCATCAAGACTGAAACTCATGCAAGCATCAGCGACAATACATGTCACCTGGGGCACAACACCTGAGGAGTTGAGTTTGGCAAGAAGATCACATAGTGGGGCTAAAGCAGTTTGGGAGGTGTATTTGCAAAGAGATGGGATATCTTGAGTGGCATCAGCAATATCTGATGATGGAAGACCGTCAGGGATAGTCTCAAACTGGAAGTCTGGGAAGCCATCAAGGGAGTTGGTGCCTCTAGACTTGAGTAGGCGTTTGTGATTATACTCTGTATTAACAAAGGTTACGTGAAAGCCTTTGAAGTGGAGTAGTTTTGCTAGTTTGAGCATTGGGTTTATGTGACCCTGAGCTGGAAAAGGGACGCACACAGCATGAGGTTTATCAGCCGGAGCTATGGAACCCATCTCTCTGCGTTTTCCTAATCACACACAAAAGGATTGGATGGCTATCAGAAGTGGAAAGACATGGCCTTTTATAGAAAAGAAGGGTTCGTACTCCCCTTGTCTTCGAGTATTATTTTTTTATTTATAAGAATATTAAAAATTGTTGTGTTAATAATCATCATTTCTAGTAGAGTTGGGAAAGTGGAAGGTTAATATACTTAATTTGATCTAAATATATATATATATATATATATATATATATATTTAGATCAAATTAAGTATATTAACCTTCCCATACCGACGACACATGGTCCATTCAAGGGTTCTGAATTGGAGTCAAAATATATAAATGAAAGGAAAATCAAACGATAATTCAATATATCAATTAGGGAAAGATAGAAAAAAAAAAAAAAGTGAATTGAATTTGGACTTCAGCTGGAATCCAACCTATAGGTTCTAGTTGAGGCTGAATGTTTGGTAACCATAAATTGAAGATAGTTTTCGGTTTTTGAGATACGAGAAATTGATGGGACATGTATAATAAAAATTAAAAATTTGGAAATAAATTGAACGTCATTTTATCTATGGCCGGCATGCGATATATATATATATATATATAGAACACCACTTCTTGGCATTTACTCAAAGCTCTAGGTTTGACTCAAGGATATCTCCTCCGCCATACTCAAGAATTGCCCTATCAAATAAATATTCTATTAGCAGGCTTAGCCTGTCATGCTAGTGTGTTCGTTGACGTTCTAGAGGCAAAGAAAGCATGACGATATGCTTATGTAATCAATGATCAAATGAACAGCAACAGAAAACATATGATACTAAATACTATTATATTCATCAGCGCTCCGCTGCCGCGGGTCAGACTACTATAAAAAAAGTTCAAGAGTTTGAAGATTTATTTGGCAGTAATATTAAATCTTTCAATCTTGAAATTGTTAATTTGATTTTTTATTTAGTTTGAGTTTTAAATTAAATCATCTAATAATTAATTTAAAATAAATTATTTAATTTAATAGATCTAAAAATAATTTGAATAACCCATAAAAATATAAAATAGTTTAAAAAAACTTTAAAATAATATTTTTTTTATATATATATTGAGATGATTCTAGATTGAGTCGACCTCGGTCATTATGTGATATCAATCATATGTTTCAATGGATTTAATAACTTTATTTTTTTATAAATTACTTTTATTTAATTTTATAATAACATTAAATGTTTTCAAAATCGAGCATCAACTTTAAAAAAAATTATTTGAAATTGTGATAACCCTATAAAAAAAATCATGAATTTCATTTCTCAACCAATCCAATATTAAAAGAGAGAGAAATAAAAAAATAAAAAAAATTAAAGGATCGCAAACTTAAATAAAAAACATATTAGGTTTAATAGGTAAATCTTCTAAATTTATGAATTGGGTAACCTGGGTTAATATGTCAAACCTGCAAATTAGGTATTGCATTTCATGGGGATTAATAACTTTTTTCCCCTAAAATATTGTTTATTTAACTATTTAATAAAATAAATAAATGATTGCAAAATCGAGTGTCAAACAAATACTAGAACTTTTTTTTAAGAGTATGTTAACCTCATAGAAAATAAAAGGAAATAAATCATAAAAATTAATTCTAAATTAGTCCAATATTTAATGATAAAATTGAAAAAAAAAAAAGGAAGTTAAACTCATCATAACCGTCAACAAACCCATGGACTTTCTAAAATTTAATGTTTTTTCAAAACTATTTTTTTAATTATATGATATAAAGAAAAATAAATGATCACATGATCGAGTTCAATTAGAAAAATAAAAAAAGGGTACCCTCCTAAACTCACAAACCAGGATAATCAAAGTTGTCTTGCCAATCTCACAAACCAGGTCATTGACTTCATAAAATTTAACAACCTAGTTTTTTACAAATATTTTTTTTACTTAACTAAACTTTGTAAAAAAAATAAATTATACCATGATCTTGAGATATTGTTTTGATACCAACTTAATCTTGGGATATTTTTTGATACAATGATAACCATGTAAAAGATAAATTATCAACTCTAAAATCCCATAAACACATCATATAAAGACTAAATTAAAAAAAATAAATAACAAAAAAGAAAAGGAGGGGTCAAAATAAAATAAAAATAAAAATACTATGGATTCCTATTGTAATCCCCAATACTAATGTGTGTGGGGAAATAGTGTTTTCCTCACACCTTTTAACTTTATATTTAATTAAAGCATGTGGGATATTCACCGGAGATGCTAACACTATTCATGCACACACATATCATTGTGAAGGGCCATATTTATTTTTTGACAATTTATTTTAGTCCTTAAAGTTTTATTTTAGGTGATTTGATCCTAATTTAAGACCAATTGCTTCTAATTTCTTTGTCAAGAGCTAGATTGGAATAATAGGGACTGAAATGAAAAAGGGTGGCATTTTAGAAGTTTAGGAAAAATACACTTTGGTCCTCTAACTTTCAAAATAACATAAATTATACAACTACCGTGCTTCATTTTTTTTCAAATTTAATTTTGGTACAAAAATTTATTTTTGTTATTTTAGTCCCTGATTGAGAGAGAGGTTGCTGGATTGCAGGAAAGAGAAAAATATCATTAATACTGATTTATGCCACCAAAATAGTCAATATTTGTGTCAAATGATTCCATTTGATAAGGAAAGTTTATATAGATGTTTTTTTTTTCTTTTACATTTAAAGTTCATAGAAAAACATATCTAAGTTTGATTATTTTTTTTTTAGCTTAATTATGATTTATGGGAAGATGTTTTGGTTTTCTTGAGGCTATGGATAGGTTTATAACAATGCCAAATGTGTTTTAAGTAAAAAATATGAGTTGAAAAAATAGTTTTTTTGGTAAAAAAACATTAAGTCCTGATTTTTTAGTCATCATAATGACCTGAATTTGAGCAAATCAAATGACGCGTTGTTTAGTTTTTTTATTTTTTTTCAAAATAAATATCCACCCCAGTTGCAACATAAAAAAGGTCTAGTTATGCGATCCTCAACAAAACAGGTTAGACCCAACAACGTTTGATGTTTGCTCTATTCTTCTTTTTTTCCTAAAATATTTTATTTCTAAGTATTTTTTTATATGGGTTTTTTCCTTAATTATTTTATCTGTATTTACATTTAAATTTTAAAGAGATTTTATGATTCATCTATAATTTATTTTTATCATTTGTATAGATGAACTTTATTTTGTAAAATAAAAAAATTATTTCCAAATAATATTTATAATATGTGCAACATTGCATAATATTTTTTTTCTTTGATTTAATTCAAACAATTTAATTTATGTCTATATTTCTATTATTATTTTTTTGAATAAAAATATAATTTTAATAAAAAAATTAAGCAAACACAAATGAGTGAATGCCTTATCTTGCGAGATTAAATAGCTTGATTTACATATGTCTCTCAATTTTTTTCATTTTTTTTTAGTTATCATTTGTGTTTATGTTTTTTTTTCATTTATTAACATACATAATTCTCGATTTATTTGATTACATGTATGTATAAGCTTTTTGATTGTCACTTAAAAAAAAATAAATATAAAAAACATGTTGAAAAAGCCTTTGTATATAATTTTTTTATTTGAATAAAAAAATCTAACCCACGGTAAAGCACAAGTCAAGTATCTAGTATATATGAAAGAGTTTCTTTGACCTTCCATGTGTTGTACTAGGGATATCAGTGATGGGAAACAGCCCAACATAGACAAAGCTAATGAAAGGTGCATTATATTATGACACCAGGCAAGAACCTCTTTGACAAGGGTAGTTGACCCAATGATAATGAAATAGTTATTGGGTTTTCTAAAACACATACACACAATATAAAAAATAAATTTAAAATTTTTTAAGAGTCTCAATATCTTGCTAGACAGATCTATGATTGTTTAAGGTTTATACAAAGATTACTTGAATATCAAATATTATTTTTGGCTTTGAATAATTACTTTAAGGCTACGTTGTTGCAAACCATAAATCGTTCAAGTATCCAACCTCTAATAGTAATCTACACGAACTATTAGTAAAAAAATTTCAAACCTTTTTAAGAGAGGGATTGTTATACCTTTGAGTGTTAGCTCCTTTCTTTTTGTGTTTTTCAAGTGTTTTGTATTGTACTGTATGCTACTTATATAGAAAATAAAAAACATAACATTATATTTATAAGAAAACCTAAAACTCTATAAATGATAAAATATCAATTTTTCCCATGAATAATATCACATATATTATTTCAAGATAATTATAAGAATTTTTTCAATTAAGGCCCTACTTGATTTTTCTAGATCTAAAATTGTAATTCAATGTATAAATTACATTCTGATCCTCAATTTTTAAAACTTATTTACAATCAAGTTATACTTAACTAATCATCCCATTTTATTTTTCGACTAATGGTTCTTATAATATGTGTGACCCATTAATGTAAATCATGTTAATAAGTTGACTCAAATATAAATCATAATTCTAAATAAAATATAATTAAATAAATTTATTATTGATTGATTTATATTTAAAGATCAATTATAATGTCTAGCAACCTGTCATGATCCTCTAAATATTAAAAAAATCATAAGTGATTTGATCTATATAAAGTGTATTTACTCTGTTAAATCATGTTTGTTCTTAACAACATGGTCTGAATAAGATTTGAAATTCTTTTAAAATATCATTTCACCTTGCATATGAATTTACAATCAATACTATTTAAATATAGATGAAATATTTTTTCTCACTCATATAGGGTGATGAATCATTTTTTAACTACTCAAATATCTTCATATGATTTATATTATACCCAATATTTATCTGTTAATTACCTTTGATTAGAATAATGTGTAGCAGGATCAAAACATAACATTCCTTATATAATTTAATGATCTCAAGTCTAAGGATCACTTATACAACCATCATGTAAGCTTTTACATAGACAGAAACAATCTTTCTATATGAAATTATCAAGTGAGTCAATTCAATATACATATCATCTAACAAGCACTTACATATTAATTTCAGGTATC